AGCCAGCATGCCTGGCTGGGGAATTCTCGGGGTTGAAGTCCACACATCTTCAAGTCGCCACGGTTGAGGAACCGTGTTTGACACGATGAACCCCTGCACGCCCTTGCTACCAGCTGCACTGGCTTGTGCTGTGATGGGACCCGTTGTATTTTCATTTATTTTCCGTAATCCATTTCTAAGCCAGTTCAGCCATTGGCAAGATGTGAAAACCAGAAGCTGGTCACAGTTAGGTGGCCTTTCCTTGCATACTTGAAGCCCGTCTTGCTGTTTGATTACCACCTTTAGGTGGTTAATTAGGTCATGTTATGAAATAAAGAGTGGCTGCTTATTTTACTAACTTAGAGGATAGTGTAGAATCTGTAGCGCTTGGGTGCTATTTGGTGTGGTGAGCCAGAGTTTTAAATGCACAACCTACTAAAATAACCTATGCAAAATGCAACAAGATTACCACACAGCAAAGACTACATATGTAAACTACTTCTTTACAAGTGAATTAGGCGATAATAAGGCAAAAGCTTTTTTTAAAAAAAAAAACTTCAGCTGATGGAAAAAAAGTAGGCTTATTAAATGAAATCTTGCTTCATAGAGTCCTCATAATGAGCTTGGCTGTTACAACTCGGCTGATCTTGCTCCCTAACAAATCAAGCCCAGATGCTGTTCCACTTTGTAATGTATTGTCTTTTCTTGTAACTTTCTGAAACTATGAAGGACTAATAACTCTTTTAAAAACCCCAACCGCTCAGTAATTTGTTGTAATTTGAATGGCTTCCAGATGGGGAGATTGCATCTTTGTGAAATCAGCTTGAAGGCAGCTGTGTCATACCTTTTTAAAAAAATCCTAGGCCAAAAAATTCTAGGCCAAAAAAATCCAGGTTTTTTTGGCCTAGAATTAAATCTAAATTAATGTTTTGACTCCAGTTCCCATAATTCTTCAGCCAACATGGCTTGCTGCTTAATGGATTTATGGGAGCTGCAAACAACTGAAATGCGTGGGTTTTGTGAATGATGTTTTAAATATATCTTAGAGAAAACTCTTAGAAGAAATTAACATTCTGGGAGAGTGGCTGTGCAGGTGAGCTTAAACATGTTTTTTTTTAAACCCAATTTTCTGGGAATTGCAACCCCAAATACTGCTGGCCACATGTTCAAATGTTTTCAAGCATTTCTCACCACTAAGTAGACCTATATTCATTTAGATATCTATCTCCTTCTGTAAGGCAACATGTGAATTTTGTATTTGTGAAAAACTATGCACCGTTCATTTAAAATATTTCAAGCCTACCTCTCAAATAATTAATAGATATTAACTATAAATAAAATCAAATATATTATGTAAAATTACAATAATAATTGTGCTAAAACAAATACCCTCTCTCCCCACCCCTACAATTCATTGAATATATTTAAATGGGAGCAACATTTTTAATTAATGGCTGAAATATACAGAAAAATGATATCAAATATCTCTGCCTTGGATATAATATGAATGGAGGCTGCCACAGAGAATTCCTTTTCCTTGCTTGCCATCTACCCAGCATGTTCAGTTTGCAACACGACCTCTCAGAGATGATGATATTCAGTGAGCAAGAGATCTTGTAGAACGTGGATTCCCTAGTGTAAGTAAATGTAAGTCAGTACAATTAGCACAGGTATTAGGTCTTTGGGTCTATAATAATCCTTGTCATTTGTATTCTGTAGAATGTAGAAGGGATTCTGGTAGCTTCTTTAGGATACCTGATGTTTTGCCAACATTTTTAATTTATTCATGAATCAAATTTATAATTTCAGATGGTCTCTCATCTAGACAGAGAAACTCTGGGCAGAGAACAAAACAAAAACATATCCAATCCATTACAATCAAGAAAAAAGAAACCAGGTTGAGGCCAATATAAAAATTTATATTCCCACATATCACATACACCCACAGCAGAGCCCCAGTAACTTAACATCCTGGCCCCAGTGGCTGGGGGAAGAGCCAGGCCTCTATGGCCTTCCAAAGGGCCAGTAGAGTTGGGGCCAAACGGATCTTCCGGGGAGGCTGTTCCGTAGGGCAGATGTGGCAGAGAAGGCAAATATTCCCTCTGGATCTAATCAGAGATGTATTTCAAGCTCTTACTCCATGTGTTGTTGATATTTTCCTGTAGTACGGCTGGGATCATTCAGTCCACAAAAGGAAGCGGCTTCCCCCAGTGAAGAGGTCGTTGGTGTGCTACCTGAAAGGAAGAGAGGTGCGGCTGCCAAATGAGTCCAGCTATCATCGCTTGTTGCATGCGTATGCAGCTCAACAGTTGCCCAGTTTGTTGAAAGAAAGAGAATTTCATCTTGGAACTCTTAATAAGGTGTTTGCATCTCAGTGGTTGAATCACCGGCAAGTGGTGTGTGGAACAAAATGCAATACAGTAAGTGCACATTCCCTAGTTATTTCCTTGATTTTTTCCAGCCAGGTATTGGATATTGTGCACAGATTGAAGGCAAAGGTGAAAATCAAGTCCACTGCTTTGTCTCACCTTCCTGCTGTTGGCAAGCACAGAGCCCCCAAATAGTGGAAGCCAGATGGAAATCGAATGCTTCATCAGTGGCTACTTAACAGAAAGTTATAAAAATGGTGCTGAGTGACTTTTTGGTGCTGAGTCTGGAGGTGCTGAGAATTTTCCATTCCTGGCTCAGCACAGCACAAAGTCCACTCTGTGTCTTATGGATCAATGGATTTTGAGAAGGCAAGTTGCTGTGACCCACAATTTCCCAGGCAGGAGAGTAAACTATGATTTTATGCTTGTCAACCTTTTGAGGGTAGATCAGGTCGGAAACTAGAATTGCACTTTATTGATACAAGCTGTAATAACATAATCTCGAGTGTCTGACAAAGTTTCTCTTTCTCTTCTTCTTATACCAAAGAGAGTCAAGGTAGGGTAATCTTGAGTTTCTTCCTCACCCCCTCCTGTCTTTTGGGGCTAAGCTGTTTTCTTAATGGCTGCTGCGTACCTTCTTCAGGGTGCCTCTGTACTCCTCTACAATGCAGTTCCCTTGTCCTAAAATTAGGAAAATTGAAGTACTGGTATTAAACAGCAGCTTGCTTGATGAGACATTAGGATATGCTACAGTTTAAAACTGAGGTCTGGTTCTGAATTGTTTGGAACCCTTCAGTCATAAGTCCTGCTTTAGAGATTAGAAAACTGCGGCCACTTGCACATCTGGAGAAGACCAGAATTTTAATGCTTATGCGTGACAGAAGCTCCAGAGGGATCTCTAACTTGGATAAATAGTTAATCAAGTGGAAAATGTGGTTCAATTGAAATAAATGTAAAATGGTGCACATTGGGCAAGACAAACTTAATTTCACATATACACAGGTGGAATCTGAGTTGTAACTAAGTAGGAAAAAGATCTTTTGGGATCACAGAGGATAGTCTAGGGAAGAAATTGACACAGTGACAAAGTTCATCCAGTACAACAGATTAGAAGGAGCTTTAAAAGCGAAAAGAAGGTATTTGAGACAGCATATAACCTGTAGAATTCATTCAGGATGTGGTGACTAAATTGGTAGGGATTGGATAAATTTATGGAGAACAGGCCTGTCATATTGGCCTTGAGGATGCAAGGTCACTTCCAGTTTGGGGGCAGCACGTCTCCCCAGCAGTGCAACAGTGGGAGAAGGAAGTCTCCAGCTCGTGCTGGGGAGCACTCCTGAGGTATTTGGTTGGTCCCTGGGAGAAACCAAATGCCAAACTAAAATGGGCCTTGATTACATCCAGCTGCACTCTCTGCTTTCTTATGACTCTTGTCCAGATGTAGCAACTATATACCAAAATGGGAATTATATTGGTATAACATAAGAAACGTTCACATCATGGCGTTCTGAGAGTTTCAAACAAACGTGTTTTCAAACCCATTGGCTTTACTGGAAATGCTGAGTGGGGAGGAGCCCTAAAGGATGCATTATGAAATGGAATATAGACCTGCAGTAAATTACTGATATGGCGGAACTATAATTATATGACATAATAAAAACATATTTGAGAAGGAGTTGAGTCCCCCAGTTTTCTCCATTTTTCATTGGTCCTATGAGTAACGGAGTGAATTGCAGCTCCTCATTTTTGTACCAAGTTTTAATTACATTCCTGCATGGGTGACAAGCTATTACTCACATTTTGTCAAAGGATGCACCAAACTATCAATCCTAGAGAGTGGAATTGTTCTGTTTATTAGTAGAACATATTGTTGGATGTTTCAAGAACTTGCTATATCATAATGAGGCTGTTGGTTGTCTGCCATCTGGGGTACCATCTCTTCATCCCAAGCCCAGGTGCAACAAAGGATGGCAATGTACCCAGGACTCCCTCTGCACACACATTCCATCTTTATTTTCTCAAACTCACTGTACAGCAATATGCAGATTTAAGCTTCTGCACTTGTACCCTGAGAAGACGCGATGCAAGACTGCATGCATTATGTGAATATATCTCAAGGCCATCAAGAGAACAGCCAAGTATCTGTTAACTCAGAAGGGTAAGAGAAAAACTCTGGGGCATTGATATATCTGGCTCTCGCTTCTTTGTATTTTAGTTGGTAATCACCTTGTGTTTCAGCTTTCTTTGTCTGCAGCAACATTTCTAACTTCCCTGGTCATATCTGGTAATTGTCTTCCAAGTCAAGCCAAGTGCAGAATAAGAATTTCAATGTCTGGAGAGCTTTGATTTGTTGTCAGTCTCAAATGTGAAGCCTTACGAAACGTAGGGGTTATTCACTGGCATTGCTCTGTGACGTTTGTGTATTTCTTTTCAAATTAGAGAGCTAATGTCTATGTATGAGTGTTAAGATATTGTAACTTTAGCCTGTGTTTTCAGGTTTGATTGTTCCTTCTGTTACGCTTCTTAAAGTCTTTTCTTCCATTAGATTCCATGTAATATTTCAATCCTTACAACTTTCCCATGTCTTAGTTCAGGAAGCTAAATTGAATATCATCTGCATTCACTGAAGTGGCAATATTCTTGGTCTAGCTTTCTCAGTTGTAGGTTAACAAGATATATTAAATGTTTTTTCAGGAACTCTGCTGAACTGCATTTAGAGTTATACTAAATCTAATAACAGAGTTACATTTTTCCATCTCATTTAAAACAATTTGGAAAGAAAGAGGGGAACACTCGGGGATGGCTTTATGCATCACATTATTATTTAAATGTATTGCCACCCAACTCCAATGGAATCTGGCTTAGTGAGTTAGATTAATTTAACCAATTTTGGTTTAATCAATAAATAATGGTTTCACTGCGTAAATTCATCAGTAGCTCATTTCCCAGCCCTTGTGCTGAAGTGGCAAATGAAATGCTTCTGCCCAGCAATGGACTTTTTTTTAACTTTTTAATGAAAAACAAAAGGAGCAGATTAAGTCTGAGTTCACCAAGCGATGACATGCTTTGTTTATTTTTGATTTAGCATTTGTTGTGAAGCCAGCTGTTGCAGTTGCGAACCATGATTAACAATTTGTAACAAGTAATCTCAGGTCATGTATTCTTGTCTGTGTCTGACATAGGCTGCAGATATTTGCTTCTACACCGTGTGTGTGTGTGTGTGTGTGTGTGTGTGTGTTACTGCTCTGTAAAGCTGAAGATGATTGCCTTGATTCGGTAATATTGCAATGGTGTTTACTCAGCTCCCTACAAATCTCCAAGATAGAAAAATAGGTTTGTTCTCTGACACTTCAGTGACGTTTTTATAAAGATCATGGCTTCTTTATTATTTCATAACAAGAATGTATACTTTGTCACCCTAATGTGGTCTGCTTAAAGTGAATTCCATTTTTTTTTCTATTCTCTGTTCATTTGTTGCATAGTGTCTCCTCAATCTAAAAGTGGAGTTTGTGTTCAAAATGGCTTGCATGGCCTTTGCGGAGATCACCTTCATAAAGTTCAGAAGTAGCCCTGTTTTCTTAAGAATTGATTGTTCCTTGTAGTTGCTGCATCCAAGCAATTTGTCTGAAAGTCAGGCCAGAAGCCTTATGGAATTGTTCTCATTTTGCCACCCCCTGTTTCAGGGGCTTCTGCGGTTCCTCTTTTTCCACATCTTGCTCCTGATGTCCCAGTAGAGGAGGACAGAAGATCTGGTCTGCCCTGTAGACACAATAGGCGTGTAACTTCTTGTTTATAGTGCCTTATTAGGGCTGGAGAAAATGCAGCTAAACAGGATTGGTCTGAATGAAGCTTAACTTGTGTGTTATTATTTCACCTTACTTGCTTTCATTACTTACTTTAGAACAATCAGATACGTTCAACTATATAAATGGGTTTCTGCCTTAGCATGCTCGAACATAGGTTAGGCACTCCTGAATTGCATTTGAAATACAGGGGGTCCCCAGTTTAAGAACGAGTTCCGTTCCCAAGGCCTGTCCTTAAGTCGAATTTGTATGTAAGCTGGAACGGTATTATTGTATAACACTGTATAAGTAGTATTGTATAATGAACTCGAACCATTGTAGATTTAACTTGAATCATTGAGTGTTTAACTCAAATTTTGCTGCAGTAGGCTCCATTCTTAATTATGGGTCATCTGTAAACCGGGCATTCTTAACCCAGGGACTATCTGTCTTTTGTATGCTAATATGGTTAATGTGAATTCATGGAAGACAATACCCTGTGCAGGAGTGGGCAGCGCCATCCCTGTAAAGCAGTAATGGGAGTGTTGCACACACCATAGAAACTAGACTCAAGCTATGTGGGTAAGCTTACGTGGCAGAAATAAGACTGAATAGTAACTCTTTGGATTCGCCATTCGTTCTTGACTGGTACCTGTGTTCCTCTAGTGCTGCAATATTCAAAATGTGTTCCATGGAACCCCAGGGCTCCATGAGAATCATTCAGGGGTTCAACATGACAATTTACTGTTACGATTACAGTGAAATTGTAAGATCTTTATTCCTTTGTTTTGTTTAAAAGAGTGAAGTCTGTGACAAGGTATTACATTAACAACAGGTTCTGCACTGGTTTTTCACACTGAGAAGTGTTCCTCGGGCATCTCAAGTTCGAAGACCCCTGCTCTAGTAAGCCAGCAGAGCAGTGATCTCCATAGGATGCATGTTTAATGTCCAGTAATCAAATTATCTTGTCTTTCTCCTTTCCATGTAGCTTTCTAATAAGATACGATAGTTCCTGTAATAATTGTTTTTCTCTCTCTGTCTGTCTCTTGCAGTTGTTTGTAGTTGATGTCCAAACTGGTCAGATTACCAAGATTCCCATTCTGAAGGATCGGGAACCTCACATGGTAAACCAGCAGGGCTGTGGGATTCATGCGATCGAGCTCAACCCTTCAAGGACTCTCTTGGCTACTGGAGGTGATAACCCAAACAGCCTTGCAATTTATCGCCTGCCTACCCTCGATCCTGTCTGTGTGGGAGATGTAAGTTTCTGCAAATAGCAAAGACGTGGAGGGTCTTTATATCAGTTGTCTGTTGCCTTGTTCATTTATGGAAATAGTCAGATTCTTTCAGAATGGATGAGACATTGAAAGGCAATTGATTAGCTCAACTGCCTCTCTTTTTTGCTTATACTCCAGTAATGTAGAAACAGGTTAAAATTTCTCTAACAGTTGGGGAGAACTGACAGTGATGCAAAAACACGAACTCTTTGCCTCCATGTTATTCACTGATTGTTTCTTTTTAGGATGGGCACAAAGATTGGATATTTTCTATTGCATGGATCAGTGATACAATGGCTGTTTCTGGTAAAACTCAAACTTTATTATTTTTCTAACCATAATTCTTATAGGAGATAAAAACTAAGAAAAACTGCCAATACAGTTATCAGTATTTCTCCCGTAATTGCCATTCAGTTCTTGCACAGGGGCAGGGAGGCTGGCCGGGCCAGTTCTCTATTGTGCCATCTCATTCATTGCCCGTGTCTCCATGGCGTCCTCCTGCAGCATTTCCTTATTGTCAGAGCAGTGATTGCACCAGGACATGTCCCTGGCCTCTTTAGAAATCAGAATTACACTGTGCAGAATCAGTCCAAATAGATAGCAATCTGGGGTGCGTGTCTGTACAGAATAGCAATAGCAACTGTTCAGCCTGGTTCCACAACACCTGTGATGTGAGCGGGTGTTTCTGAGAAGTGACTGAAGTTCATTTATGCGTTTATTTATTTATCCAGTTTCTAGGCTGCCCAACTCCAAAACTGGCTCTGGGTACCTCCACAGAGTTAAAAACATAAAAAACAACATGCTATGGATATAGTTATATATGTTTGTCCTGCTGTCCGAAACAAATGAAATGATGCCCGGATATTGTTGTGTGGTTATCCTCTTTCGCTGTGTTTATGGCAGTGTGACTAATATATCAGATTCTTCTGTGCAATTATGTTCTTAATTTTCTACAGTGTTAATTTAATGTTAAACAAACTACAGGTAGTCCTACAGGTAGTCCTCAGTTAACCACTCATTCAGCGACCATTCGAAATTACGATGGCAATGAGCAAGTGGTCTTTATGACTGGTCTTCCAAGTTCTGGCCATCCCAGCACCCCTGCGGTCACATGATTGTGATCTGGGCACTTGGCAGCTGGCTTGCACTTACAATGGTTGCAGTGTCCTTGGTTGTGCAGTTGTGATTTGCAACCTTCCCTGCTGGCTTCCCGCAAGCAAAGTCAGTGGAGAAGTTGGCAGGGAAGGTTGCAAGTTGCTCAGGTAAGTCTCCCTCACCCGCATACCCTTCCCCAGCCCCTCTGTGCTTGTGCCACGCTTCCCTAGCCACCCACATACCCTTGCGCACCCTCCCTGAGCTGCACTGTGCTTGCACTGCGCCTCCCCGGCTACTTGCACACCCTCTCCCACTCAACAGCAGCCACCCCAAGCACCACCATGCTTGCGCTGTGCCTCCCTTGCTGCTCATGCACCTTCTCCTACCCGGCAGCAGCCACTTAACCTGCCTGCTGGCCTGCTTGCATGCCACCTGGGACTTGCAACTTCCTGCCAGCTTCCCCACTGACTTTGGTTGTTGGAAGCCAGCAGGAAATTACAAGGAAGTCCCACTTATCAACCCACAATCCTCGCTTAACAACGGCAACGGGGAGTGCCGGGATTGTGGTCGCTAAGTGATGTGGTCACATGACATCATGCTTTACAACCGCATCACTTAGTGACAGACAGTCCAGTCCCACTTGCCACTGTAACTTGAGGACTACCTGAAAGCAATGGGTTTGGAGGATTGAAACTCTCTGAATTTCTGAAATTTGACAAATGTATGCAAATTTGGTTATGGAACTTGTTCCATTTTTAGCACAAAAAGAACCCTGTCTCTTTGCTTGGTGGGAACATTTCTTTCTCGGGAGCTTTAGTATGAGAAACAATATCTATAGCTTGTCCAGTAAGAGGTATAAACTTGTTGTGCTAAGCATATCGTCCTTTCTTGGACATGTGATCAATGTGTACTTGAGTGTGCTTGTTTCTGGTAGGTTCCCGAGATGGTTCGATGGGACTCTGGGAAGTGACAGATGAAGTCCTGGCCAAGAGTGACGCACGACGCAACTTGTCGCAAGTCCCTGTCTATGCACACATAACCCACAGGGCTCTGAAGGACATTCCCAAGGAGAATACCAACCCAGCAAACTGCAAGGTCCGGGCCCTTGCTTTCAACAACAAGAACAAGGTTAGGAAGATGAAGGAATTAAACTCCCCCCTTGCTGAGTCTGGAGATAATTCCAATAATTCCAGCTTTGGACTTCTAGCCAGAACACCCTGCTATAGCCAATTCTAGTCCTCAGTCCATTACAGGTAGTCCTCATTTAACAACCACTTGTTCAGCAACCATTTGAAGTTACAGTGGCACTGAACGAGAGTACTTATGACCGGTCCTCAAAGTTGTGTCCGTCATAGCATCCCCACGGTCATGTGATCACCATTTGGGTGCTTGGCAACAGGTGCACAATTACAATGGTTACAGCGCCCCATGGTCATGTGATCACCATTTCTGACCTTCATTGCGGGTTTCCCACAAGCATAGTCAATGGGGAAGCCGGCAGGAGGTTGAAAGTCACAGTCACGTGACGTCTGCTTACCAACCGCAACTGGAACTGCCAGAACTGCTGTCCTAAGTCGGCATGGTCATGTGATTTTCCGCTTTACAACCGTGTCACTTAGCGACAGAGTTGCTGGTCCCATTTACCGTCATTAGCTGAGGACTGCCTGTACTTCCCTTCAGCATAGATCACTTGTCCAGGTAGGAAAACAAACCCGTAAGTGGTATCAGTGTTGTGCTGCTGCTGAGACAAGTTGCAGAAGTTGAATGGGAAAGGATGCACGGATGGATGTTGGGATTCTGAGCTGAAGATTTTTGGCCTAGATCACTCTTGGTTGGGTTTGTAAAGCTTATTACAGACAGTTACCCTGGTTCTGTGCACTGCTTAGCTGTAAACCATCATTTACATATGACAGTGGCTGTCTTCAGATGGTGCTAAGCCAAAACCCTAACCGTGTGGTGACTTCTGCAATGTGTGAACTCATCCTCTGTCTTCAGAATAACGAAGTGGCTAATTATTAATGATGTATGCAGAGACTTTCACGTCACAGTCAAGTGAATGCTAATGTCCTTCTCTTCTAGGAACTGGGAGCTGTTTCTCTGGATGGATATTTCCACCTCTGGAAAGCAGAATACATGCTGTCAAAGGTGACTTGCCACGCCTGCACACGGAAATGCTTCAGTCAGATCCTGACTTATTACCACGGCTGGTTAAAAATTAAACTAGAATTTCCTGGGTTAGGTGTAAAAGAGAACTCTGGCTTCATGCCAAGTAGGAACAAAGTGCTGACCCCCAGATACAAGGAGGGCTCATGCAACCCTAGCATTTACTGGCAACTTGGTTTAAGAAGCTACAGAGAACATTCAGGCTCTTTCTAGCTTCTTAATTCAGGATGATCCTCTTTTACTTGGTTGTGGAAACTTGCTCACCACATTTTCTGGGTTTATTTCTTTCTTTAGATACCTGTTTTTTCTTTTGCCGGTAAGAGCGTAAGAACAGCACTACAGGATCAGGAAGATTCTTTGTTTCAGGCCCTCAAACAGTTGGGCATTCAAAAAAAAAAAAAGAAAGAAAGAAAATTCTGTTGCGTTATAACATTTCATAACACATCAAAACTACGTTTCTGTACGCATTTGCAAGGGAGAAAGTGAGGAACCTTTTGCTGACTTGCTTGTATGCATAACTTCAAACTCTAAAACAGAGTGCTGCTTTAACAAAGGACTGTTCGTGAGTTGTGCTGCAGTTTCTGCATTACTGGATCCAAGATGAATGAAGTTACCGAGACTAGTTTCTCTGCATTGAGATTTGCAGCTGGTTTTTTTATGGGTTGCTGTTTTTCCTGAGAGACAATGCACCCAGCTAAATGGGAGCAGCCTGGCCCCTCCTGAAATTGCTGCTATCGGTGCTGGTGCGGTTGGTGCCAATACTTAGGAATATTGCTTATAAGCTTAGGCCTGCCAGCACCAACCCTTGTCTGGGAGAAGCAGCCTCAGTTACGTGCGCTCCCAGCTGGGCTGCTGCAACGAGCTGAATGTGAGGTTGCTTTTAAATACAGTGAGAAAGTTTGAGTGGGACTGTTAGAAAGCTTGTGCAGCCGTGCATTTAGCTTCTGTTGTAGCAGAGGGGGGTAACTCTTTTGGGCTGGGGAGACATTTGGATTTAGGGGATTCACAGCTGCCTTGAGTGCCCGCCAGAGCAGAAAGTTAGGTTACAGATCAAACAAATAAATGCCAGAAATGGCACTCGTCACATGGGAGGCTTGTCTGTTTACAAAATAGCTGCAGAGCATCCATTTACCATAAGGAGAACTAGTCCCAAGGAGATTTTGCTACTGTTGGGGAACTCAAAGGTGGTCCTGTAAGTGGCTATGATGCCAGAAGCTGGTGTCTTGTTTCACCAGCTGGTTTCCATTTCATTTTTGTTAATGAAAAGAATTGTGAAAAAGTCATTGGGGCAGGGAGCCTGATGAGGTCCAGGGAAATGTGAGACAGCACGTTGTTCTCTAGACTTGATTGTATTAGAACCATTGTATGATTCTGAACGGTTCAGGAAGTGCCTGCGCCTAAGCTTAAGATGGCCTGTCTGAAAAGGCCCTTGCTTGCTGGCTTCAGACTGGAAGACACTCTTAGAAGCAGGTTCAGTGCTGAACCCACGTCTTTCAGGCCTCTGAATCTATGCTTTGGCCTCCTTTATTAAGGTATGGGGCGCTGGGTTTTAGACTGCAGGTTCTGGTTCAGCACTGGGATGTTTTATGGACTTTATATGTTGCTCTTAATGAGTTTTAAAGCTAGTTTCTTTTTAAAACCTCAGTTTGGGTTTACTGCTTGAGGTTTTAGTTTTGGAATTGTGAAGGAAGGAAAGCCATTACATGTGTTCCCCCACTCCCTGTCTGCAACTTGCCATAGCTCTGATAAGCAGAGACAGTGCAATTGTCTCCTTCGTGCATTCTTTGGAACATGAATGGCCTAGTTTCAGTTGGGGAGAGCTTTAAGGTAGTGTGGGAACAATTGCCTTCCATCCTTAACCCCTTGGAAAAATGGGCCTCAAATTTGGCCCATCCCATCGAGGGTCACTAGTTCTCCATTGGAAGTTCAGGAGACTGAATGTGCCCCCCCATCCCTGCCAGCCATTGTTGCTGCCTCTCTGAGCCTAGCGACCAGCTCTTTCATCAGAGTTCAAGAAGCAAAGATTGCCACTGTGGATTATAGCTGCAAATCAGATCTGTAGGTGAGAGAACAAACACACTGTTGAGGTTGTGCTTCTGTGTGTGAAGTAAGGCCTACAGAGTTACCGTTGAAATTCTGTTTCAGTTCTTGTGGTTGTTGGTTTCATTATTCCTTTTCTATTAATTTTGGTAGAAGTGGAGGTTGGACTGCATATCTTGTGTAGAATCTCTACTAATTATGCTATTTGTGTACTCTGATTGTAAATGCACACAAAAGTAGTTCCAGTTTTGGCTCATTTATTTAAGCATCCTTTGGATCTTCTGTTGTTCATGGTATCCTCCTCTGATTTTCATAAAGGTTTTTCTCTTTCTAACTTTTATAGCTGCTGTCAACAAAGTTACCATACTGTCGGGAAAACGTGTGTCTGGCCTATGGTCAGGAATGGTCTGTGTATGCAGTTGGATCTCAGGCACATGTCTCTTTTCTGGATCCGAGACAGCCTTCCCACAAAGTTAAGTCTGTCTGTTCCAGAGAGCGAGGAAGTGGTAAGGACACTTTATAAGTTTTTATTAAAAAATTCATTGAGATACAGCCCTTTGTTCAACTTGGTGACCTGCAGATGTTTAGGAAACATATTATCTCAACATATCAGTAGAAAGCCAGATTGGAGAACCATGTGATGGTTCTGGAAGAGTTCAGAGGGCATTTGAACCATCTCTGAATCTTGGAGGAAATTCATCATGAATGTTTTCTCAGGAATGTGGAGAGATGTCATTAAATAGGGATGTTAAAGCATCTGTAAGTTCATTATGGTACATGCAAAATGACATGAAATAATAGAATTGTAGAAGAAGCTAGAAAGGACTTCATGAACTGTGGACCTCATAAAACTCTGAGTAAAGCAGCTTTGGTGATATAGTCCCCCCCTCTGTATTTTAGCCAAGTACTTGTTTAAGCTTGATGTGAAGTTTTGTTGTATCTCTAAGCAACCTGTTCCACTGTACCTCCAGTCATACACCTCACATGGAACTGTAAGGAGACCATTTGCTTCCACTGTAATGTCTCCCTTTCAGATTTTTCATATTCCATCCTAGTCTATTCTTTTTGGTATGAAATAAATTCAGTTTAAATACTCAGTGTATTTTCACATGCTTTCTGCTCCTTGTACATTATCCTTTAAAATTTTCTTTTCTGCATTTGCTAATGAACTTATTCTGCATTCCTGTAGAGGGTAATGTCCCAGTTCTTAAAACACCTCAGCAGATACTAAATCACTCTGTACTTTTCTAGCCTATGTTCTTTCTTAGAACAAATCCTGCAACATCCAAAGACACACCCATCTTAATTAACAGTAATTGTTCCTAGGTAATTCGGTATTCTCCAGATGTTTGGACTGCAATTGAAATCTTTGACCATTCATTGAGTAACATTGACTACTCAGAATGCATCAGCAACATAGACAATGACTTCTTTGATGATATTCAGTGGTGGATTATCCTATATAATTTTAAATATTCTCTCTTATTTTGATTTTAACATTTATGTCTGATCTAGGATCACAGAAATACGTATATGTTGGCTTGGGTAGATGAGTTACAGTCCAAAATAAGTGGAAGGTACCAGTTGGATTATTCTTGATAATCAAGCTGTCCTGAATTTAGAATGGACTTATGGATCATCCAACACATCTCTGTCAAAGACATATCTGCAATGTGAACATCTCCAGTCTGGAATGCGACCATGTCATCCATAACAGAGAGCTTAATCACCTCTCTGTAAATCTGTCTAGCGAAGACCAGCTCACTGCCTTTCAAAGGCATTTGGTTCCACTTCCAAGTTGCTTTTGCCATGAGCCTCTAATGTTGTAATTCTGTATCTTAATTCTAGTCCTGCCCTTTATCAGAACAAGTCTGCTGGGAAGGAGGCTTTGAATCAGTTCTTGACTTTCTTTGCTGGCATCTTCATCTCTCAGGAGCTTGAGGACGCTACAAGGAGGCCTGCTTTTGTGGGCTTGAACCTGACTCACAGGAAGTACATAGCTGATAAAGTCAAAATGACAGCCTCACCATTTTCATCCCTAGCAAGGAGGAACAAAAAAGTTTCCAACACAGTAGTTACTGGTATGCTGGGTTAAGTGAGGACAGCACTGAAATGATCTCCAAACAATGAGGGATGAAGCTAGACTAGCCCTAAACCCATCTCCCATCTCCCTTCTTTTGACTTCTGACCCCTGGACCCCTTCCGTTTGTTTCGTTTCTTCATGTGCTATGGTTGGTTCCTGCCAGCATCTTTCTCAGAGTTTCCTGTCCTTGCTGTCATGGTTAACTGCATGAACTTATCCAATTTGCTTTTAGAAGCAACTCATGCTAGTGGCTGTGAGAGATCTTTGTTTTCCAGGGACTGGACATACCACAGTGTAGCCAATCTGTACAAAATACTTTATTGCAGCACACACCTTCCCCCAACACCAGACTATTGCTCTTCACCCATCTAGGACTTGCAAGGTGATGATGTCATGTCAATATGTCTTTAACACTGAGTCCTTTAATGCTTAGTGTATAAAGTCTGTATAAATATATAAAGGTCATAAAGCCTGTAGTGTGACATACAACCTTTAAGCCTTTTCCAAATATTCTTGCACTAGTTGAGGTAAGGTGCTACTTCAATGTTCTTGTTCCTCTTTTAGTGGCTACTGAGCTCCCAGCAAAACTCCGAGCTCCGGGCAGGACTCCCACCAAGATAGGCTGCTCACCATAACATGTGGTCTTGGTAGTTGAACATTAGTCCTCTTGGCTGCTTGCCGACTCTAGATGTTGCTTTTCCACTCCCTCGCCTGCTCGCCATTTGCTTGTCACGTTTCTTACACACACACTGTTTACACACATCTCCTCCTCCACCTTGTCTTAATGTTTGCTTTTCTGAGCTAAGATCCTGGGTGAGGTTCAGGCTGCTTGTCTGCACGTCCTTGAAAACATCAGGGTGTGGCTTATTATCACAGGCAGCTGGAATGCTGCCCTGGATGCTTGTGAGTAGTCAGGGAAACAAGGGAAATGGGGTGAGAAGTGTTTCTGCCCAGTTGCAGCACACCTTTCCAAAGCACAGGAGGTCACAAGTTGTGGTCACGTGATGTCTTGCTTAACAACTGTGGGTAACTTCACTCCCTCACAGTGGCCATGAATTTCCTGTAACAATGAATCACATAAGTTGATTACTTGTTCAGTGTAGCGTCTACAGGTAGTCCCCGGTTACCAACCATTTGTTCAGTGACAATTCAAAATTATGACAGCACTGAAAAAGAAGACTTATGACTGGTCCTCAACGTTGCAGCTGTTGCAGCGTCCCTGCGGTCACGTGATCACCATTTGCAACCTTCACAGCCAGCTTCCAATAACCAAAGTCAGTGAGGAATCCAGCAGGAGGTCACAAGTTGTGGTCACCTGATGTCTTGCTTAACAACTGTGGGTAATTCATTTAACAGCCACAGCAAGAACTGCTGACCTAAGTCAGAACAATTAGAACCGTGTTGCTTAGCAATGGAGTTGCTGGTCCAAGTTACGGTTGTTCACTAAGAACTACCCGTAGACTTCTAGCGTGGAGTTATATTCTTTTGTACATAATATTAATTCACTATAGTTCTGGCAAGATATGTCCTGACTACAGGGACCCTATTTAATCTTTCTTAAACTACAATTATTATAATGCCACTTCCTTGATTCTTGTTATTCTTTCTTACTCCAATACTTAGTGTGGTAACTATCTAGGGAAAAGATATTTATTCCAGATCAGTTTTATTGGCTAAGCAAAGTATTTTAAGAGTCTCTCTTGCATGCTCTTCATGTTGTGCCTTGCTGGTGACTTTTATAGTAGGAGCTAAGTTCTTCCAGAATTTCCTTACTTAACATTTTTTAGCCTGTCTGATTTTAACAATTGAAATTTCTTTCTTTTGGTAGACCTGGTAAGCCGATTCCTTGCAGAAATAATTTGAGCTTCTGTCTGTAAGCTGATAAAGTTTTGCCTTAATTAATGCAGTGTTAAAGACTTGTTCCTATTTTATCAACAGATTTTTTTTTTGAATACTAGTTTCCTTTGTCAATCTGTAGTGTGTGTATTTGCAATCTCCGAGCCCTTTGGTTCACCTTCAGTTGTTATTTTAGTCAGTGCCATGGGTACAGCGTTTGTTCCTTTGCCATATCTACTATAGGCCTTTTGGAAGAAATTCACTTCTGATTCATGATCTCTGCCATTGCTAATCTTTCGTAGGCCTCCTGCCTCTGCTATGCTGAATGTCAGTGATCACTTTTGTTCATCTCAGAACTCTGGATCTTTAGTTTGTCTTTTGGTCCCTTCCTCAAGTCCTAAACAGCCTACAATTTATTTATTTATTTATTTAAATGTATTATAGCCACCCAACTCCACTGGACTTTGGGTGGCCCCAGCCAGCCCCAACAGGCTTGCTCTTGAAGTGTGCATACAATTGGAAGGTACAACGTGAACAATAGTGATGGTTCAAACAGAACATAATTATTCCAAAGTATAGGCTTGATACTGAGAAATGGCTTTGCTTGGTTAGATTTAGGAACAGGATAGCTCTAGAACTTCCTTTAGAGGTGACACCTTCCTACTGAGCAACAACACATCAAAGACCACCATCATGGTGACTTGAGTATTGTAACTGTAACCTATTACTTGAAAACTGTGTACAAGGAAATATGATCTAAAGTGCATTTTCCCCAGAGGCTCTAAGAGAATCTGCTGTCTTGGCCTTTCAGCCTAGACCTGTTGCAGCAGCCCTGGCTTCCTCTTGATGGAAACTCTACTTTTCTTCCCACTGTCTCCCCTGCTCTTTCTTCCATGGTATTCCAGTTGTTCTTGTCTAGACAAAGCTGTATTTGTTGACCATGGCCCTTGTGTTGACTCCATATGAAGAACTGTCTAGACAAAGTCAGTAATCTATCAGTTGCCACCAAACTAATGTGTTCAGGGAGCTAAAAAGCATGCACCAAAGTTTTCCTTTGTTACCCCCCATTGCTACACACAACTGCTTCTTCCTGCATAAGTTCACCTGATTCACAATATGCTGGGGATTTTCACTGATGCCAGGATGTTTTGAGTTTCAACAAAGAAATACCTAGTTGAGGAAAACTGAGAAGCATATTTTGAAAATAAGTAGGGACAGGGCTTAGTCGGGTTTCCATAACACCTGTGTCTGTCCCTCTTCCACGACAGGTATTCGCTCAGTGAGCTTCTATGAACACATTATCACGGTGGGGACAGGACAGGGCTCCTTGCTATTTTATGATATCCGAGCCCAGAGGTTCTTGGATGAGAAACCACCGCACAATTGCTATGGATCAAAATTGGGAGGAAGTGAAATTCTCAAACTGTCAACTGGCAGAGGTTGGCTGGTGAGTAGCTGCAGAAAGAAAAAGTGTGGTTCATGTATTGCCTCAAAATGCTTTCCGAGTATTGAGAAGTCAACAGGAGAAGGTCAGCGGACTGCAGAAACTCTTAGAAACCAAGTGCTTTCCATAGCTTTGTCCTTAAACATTCTTTGTCTGCATTAAGTCATCAGAATGGAATTGAAAGTTGGTGGGCTAAAACAGGCATGATGAATTCCAAAACTGTGCACCAGCATTAATTATAATTATATACACATAACAAAATCCCCTCTCACCTCTATGGGTGGTATGTGTCTTCCTCAGTCTCAGGTCCTCTACCAGAGGCCTGGGAGTTTGAGGGTTCTGTGCAGGATCTGAGCTGTTCCTAGCCCTGCACTCTTCTGGGAAGAGAGCTCTGGTGTTGCTCCTGGGATCTGTTCGACCCATACCCATCTCCCAGCTTGGGAGTCACAGCCCTGAGTGCTCCTACCACCACTGGGACCACTTTGGCCTTGACTTCCCACATCCTCTCTAGTTCCTCCTTCAGGCCCTGGTACTTCTGGATTTTATTTATTTTATTTTATTTATATTTCAAATTTAGATACCACCCATTTTACAAAAAGTGACTCTGGGCAGTTAATTTTTTTGTACTCCTTCTCCTGATGTTGTTGTCACTTGGCACTGCTACATCTATCACTACCGCTGTCTTCTGGTCCTTGTCTACTACCAAGATGTCTGGTTGATTGGCCAATACCTGCCTGCCCGTCTGGATCTGGAAGTCCCACAGGATCTTAGCCGTGTTATTCTCCATGACCTTCTGTGGAATCTCCCATCTGGACTTGGGAGGGTCTAGCCCATACACTGTGCATGTGTTCCTATTCACAATGCTAGCTACTTGGTTGTGCTGTTCAGTATATGCAGTATGTGTGTGTGTGTGTGTGTGTATACACACACACACACACATGTATATATATTTGTATATATGATGCTGCTAGGAACTTTCCTTCCATATATATATTTAGCAGGGGGTGTTACATAGAGCTGTCGTTGCACCCTATCTTGTAAAAAGTTTGGATTTCTGAATGGGAATTGCCCAGCTCTTGTGCTTTAGCTTCTCCTCTCTTCCTTGGTCCTGGGGATATAAAGACCAACTTTTGGGAAGGTTGTGAGGAACTTGGTTGGAGATCCTACTGACATCCACTTTCCTTTGACAGAATCATGACGAAACCTGGAGAAATTACTTTTCAGACATCAGCTTCTTCCCAAATGCCGTTTACACTCACTGCTATGACTCGTCCGGCACGAAGCTTTTTGTGGCAGGAGGTCCCCTTCCGTCTGGACTCCACGGGAATTATGCTGGCCTCTGGAGCTAATAACGCTTTCCAAAAAGCCTCTCAAGTGTGACTTTTTTTTCCTCACCCTCATTTTCTTTCCTTTTTTAAAACAAAGGATTTGTGTGGTGACATTCCTGTCTTCTGGTTTTGATGCAACTTGGGGTTAAACTATTTTTTTTAGGAGGGGAACAGTGTATCCTGTTGGTCTCCCAGCAGTTTTTGTACATTTTTAAACTGTTTTTGTTTATCTGCTTTGATCTTTATACAGTAGAGTGGGTGTTTGCACCCTTTTTATTGCATTTCCTAAAATGGCTGAGTCTTTGCCCCGAGCTTAGGCTAACCAACCATACGTCTCACTTCCTTCTCTTACTTCGCTGTGAGGTAGGAATCCTTGATTAGATCGGCTGCTGCCGAGCTTTCTGTGAAAGCCCAGGGGCTGTGTGTGTGTGCGTGTGTGTGTACATGTACGTGCAGGTACTTTGTCAGTCGCATTTCCTGGAATAAAAACAATGTGTAATTAAAAATTAAAAAGTATTTATATGAGATACACTTCTACTTTATCCACAGAGTTAGACATACACATGACTCCATGTCATCTTGAAAAAGTGCATTTTTAATGATGATGCTGTTTTTGCCACTGTGATCCAACATGTGACCTCCGTCCTAAGCTTGCTGCACATGTACAGTTTGCCCTTTTATTCCTTGCTTCTCTCCCCAAGGATGATGTCATGGTGGGAATACAGACTGGCTGCAGGTGAAAGTCACCCTCACCGATCTTGTGCCTTGGGGGTACGCAAAGGTAAAGCATTTGGGAGAGAAGCATCTCTTAACTGCCTCATGGGTAATGGCATTGTGGGTGAAGTACCAATTCTGCATAAGGGTGGCTTATGAGTATCATGCTAATAAAATTTAACACACACACCTTCAGAAGGTTGAATTAACTCACTAATAAAAGTGAACCTCAAGAGATCCTTGCAATGTGCTTCTGTCACACAAAAATTGATGAGGTTTACTCACAAGAATTTCTTTAGGTATGGTTTACTTTTGGTTCCATAAGCATAATACTCAAACTTTGATTCTACAGCTCCCATAACCTGGACCAACCACCCACCCCATAAGCCAGGGTTCTAAAAGAGGAGCCTGTGTGTCCTTTCTCCTTACTGAGTTTGAAGAGAAACACTTCTTATTTCCTTAGTAAGCTAGTCCTCCACTCCAGAAGCCTTCCTTCAGCCAGGTGGGTTGCTGAATGAGGAACAGAACATTGCTCCCTTCTGTGTCTGTCTGCTAGTGGTGGAGGATAGGTAGACCTTTTCTCCAAGTGAACTAGCAGCACTCTCTCTCCCAGGAAATTTATGTCTTGGCGTGAAATTGCTTATTGCTTTTGGCTACCAGTTCTGTTCTCAAATATAAGCTGCCTTAAGACATCCTTTAGGTGTCTATATGTATAGGTACTTTGTCAATAGGGATAATTTGGAAGGGAACTTCTTGATGAGGTCCCTCAGAGTTGCAGGGTCATTGTAGGACAGCGTTGGAATGAATTTGCTTCTTCTTAGCCAACAGAGAAGTGTTATACCCAAAACAAACTGGAGCTTCAAATGCTTTTGTGGACACAGGATTCAGTTTGCCAGGCGATGCTCTTGTGCTACAAGGACATGCTTGTGTCATGCTGCTATTATTTGAAAGTTCCAGGAAGCCCAACAAATCTCTCCTGCCTGCTGCATCTCTATGGGATTTTCTGATCTTCCAAGTAGTTTCCATTGGTGTCTTGGCTTCAGACATGATGTATGGCTTCTAAGGTGATGGAAATACCTCTGGAACAGCAGCTCTTCAAGAAAAAGGACTGTCGTCTTCTGGAGGCTGATGATCCTTTCTGGAAAAGTACAGCTTTCTCCTTGGTAGGTTGGGCCTCCCAACTCCAGTGGGAGATGGTGCTATGCTACTATTTCAGCAGCTGATACTGAGTTTTTGCCTTCATACAAAGCAAATGAAGTTCACTTGTAGACAAAAACACATTTACTCTGAGATCTGAAAAAATAAAAAAACATATCCCCCATTGGCACTTGTTTCTGTTTCTGCCAGAGAACTATGAAGCAGGAACAAATCTGAAAATTTTCTGGAGAGAACCTTCTTCAAATGCTCTTTCTTTTCTTGGAGCTAGGAAACTCAGGTCCTAACTCCAAAAAGAGATTAGTCAAAGGAGTATCAGATGCGGATGGTACAATTTTACATGTAAAACTCAAATTTTTGTAGTGCCACATGTAAGCTACCATGTGTGACATGGCCATCGGTTAGGATTTGCTTACTTCCTCTGAACTGCCTCTGAGAACTTAGATTGCTCAGTTCCATAATAGCTCTGAGTCGAGCAGATGCTTTGCATGCATGAGGTCCCAGGGTTCACGCACACTGCAAATGGAACAACTGGTAGCATTGCTGAGAAAGACCTCTCTGGAGACCATGGGGAGAATGCTACCAGTCAACTCAAAGGAGCTTTTGAAGGTCTGACTACAGGTCTGACTCCATCTCATCCGTGTGCCATGCTCCTAACACTCCTGCCGGTCAGTGGAGGCAAGATTTGTTGAATTAGACTTGAGGGGTTCTATTTTTCCAGGAGGGATATTGAAGAAGGAAAAGGTATAAAGTGTAATTTCTCAATTGGCCTTAAAGAAGGGAATCTTCCAATTGGGTAGCTGATTTTTAGAAGGGGCTCACTTGGACGTGGCTGTGTCACACCCAAAGTGCTTTAAAATTGTCCTGCTAGAAAATAACCAGAAAAAGCTACATTGGCATTCAAGGTTTGTAGAGTTTGAGGAAAGGGAGGAGCAGTCTTCATATACGTAATTCAGACACTGAATTATAGACTCTCAGAATATGACTGCATTTAAAATCAGTAACATTTTGCACATATTTTTAATCATTTTTAAAATTCTGTCTTAGAGAAGAAATATTGCTAAAAGAGGCCTTTTTTCCAGCTCTATTTCTACAATGTCACTTGGTGCTTGATGAAGGACAGACCTTTTAAGTGTCTTCTTTCTGAGCTGGGTCTTATCCTACATACAGAGCACTGAACTCGCCTGAATTGGAGGATAAAGCAAATGGTCAGCTGCAAAGGGAAAACGTTTTGTGACACAGATTGCCAGACGTGAAGTAAAGTATATGTAGTTGTCTGCTTATGTTGGGTGGTGCCCAACATCCACATAGTGTAAATCAAGAATAAAGAAAGTGACTATCTTCAAAAGGAAAAAAAACAATTGTCGAGGCACAAGGTAACTTAAATGTGGTTAAATTTTAATACTCTTTAAAATAGGATTATAAAGCTGGGTGAATTCCACAGAATTTGGTGCCATCCATTTCCCTGGGGGTACAGCTACCAGAATTCTCAGTCTGGCCAAGGACCTCTGGAGGCCGCTAGATGTGGGAAGGCTGGTCTGAAGTGCCCGGTTGTTTATAAAACTGGTTTTACAGAATTGTTATTTAAAGTTAACTAAAAGTATTTCCTTCCTGCTTGGGCATGAAATCCTTGTACTGTAGTTGTTTCTCTTCTACAATGTGCGTGCAGCAAAGTAGGAGCAATAGATGGTGGTGCCTTAGAACAGGGTTCCTCAACCTTGGCAACTTTAAGATGGAAGTTGAAGTCCACCCGTCTTAAAGTTGTCAAGGTTGAGGAACTCTGCCTTAGAGGAAGGCTGTTGAACCAAGCATTTCTGTCCAGAAGTTATTCTTGATCTGTCTACACAATTTTCCTCACATATTCCAGGGAAAACAGCAATTATTACTTGTCAGGCTACTAATAAGTACTTATGAGCTCTATCGTTGCCTTCGATACTTGTCAGAATAAAGAGGCAAAGGACCCATTGAGTAAGCATGTACTGAGGTTCATTTAGCAGCCATCCCAGCCTGGAGAAAGAACAACACTTTATGGGTTCTGTAGAAGAAAGGAGAGCAAAGACATTTGAGCAAAAGAGATTGGTGAATTTTAGCAAGGAGTCCTCAGATCATTGTATTCTAGGAGTATTTGTTTCTACTGCATGAGCAACATCATCAACCCAGAGTATCTTCTAAGCAAAGGGCAATCTGGGTCTTTGGGACAAATATGTACCTTATGTCTTCCACTTCATAAGGGGGGATCTTGAAATGTGTAAAACCAAGGTGGAAGGTTCATCTACAATGGATGAAGAAGGGACATGGGCCAAAGAACTTGTGTTCCTGTCAGGAAGCAATCAATTGTAGCTCTGGTCTGGTACATGTATAATACACTTATTTTTAAAACAAGTCACTAATATTTGCATATCTTTCTATGTGAAACAGCAGACAGCTCCCCTGAGAAATATTCACATCTGTGATGGAATAAAGACTGTTTCATTTCTCCAACCTTTTGTGAGCTGTTTCTCTTTAAGTAATGTTTCTTCCTTAATCCACTTAATTCAGAGGAATGTCTGTGGCTGGATGCTGGCTCTTCAACCTCATTAAATTTGTACTTTAAGAAATTGGTCTGTGCCCTTGGCCAGCTCTTACTTATAGTCTCCCACATTCAGTGTTGAATGTCATGATTTCCATTCAGATAACACTGGACCAATCAGAGGTTAATGGTACGTTGATCTTAGTGGCACTTAATGTATGCCAAGCTGCCTACAACAGGATTTGTTATCTATGTCTTTTTGTCTTAAAAAGAAATTTGCAACTGCAACCCATGTGTTCCAGTCAATTTTGACATTTGATGTTTAGGAATTATATAAAATCAAATGTGTGCATTCACCTGGCGTGTCTTTTTCCACTGATGCCTGCATAACAGATTCAGAGGATGCTGAATCTTTTTAATTTTAGATGGCAATTTGCAAGCTGCAGGGTTTCTAAATAAATCAATAAATAATATATTTATATTTATATAAATAAATAACTTAAATAAATAAAAAGCTTTACACACCGGGTAAGGGGAAATCCAGAATGCACCCACACACGGTATATAGAGAGAAATAACGTGTATTTGCCTGCTTCCATCCCAGTTTCTAGAATGTTATAATTCATGTTTGTGGAAACTCCTGATTTTAGCAGAAGTCAATAGAAAACTGGAACAAAGAAGAAAATAGTGAATATTTTCCTTCTCCCTTGTCAATGTTCAGTTGGAAAATGTAATATGTACAAAGTTACAATTTTAATCTGTTGAAAATCAATTTATTCTGTTCTAGTACATGTTGAAAGTCTGTTGAAAATCAGTTTATTCTGTTCTAGTACATGGAAAAGGTAAAGGGGACGCA